TTGTTCTATTTATGAACCACCAAAATCCACCGTTATTGTTTGAATTTTAGTAAATAAACAACTTATGTTTGATGTTAAAACAAAATTATTAAAAAAAAAAAAAAAAAACAGCAAGGAAAAACTGATTGGCTCAACTCAGATGGCATTTCCAAAGAAGCATGTTTGTCTTCTATTCTTTAAGTGTTTCTTTATCTTGGAATAAAAATGTTATGTTAGCAAATACTAGCCATAGAGCCCGGTGATGTAACAGTAAGAGATAGATCAAGTATCAACCATCTTAAAGAGTGAAAAATAAAATTGACAAAGATTATTGTTTAAGGTTGACGGACACGCATGTCTTAATTTGTTTTTTTTTTTTTTTTTACGAATTGGTCAAACCCAAACTCAAACAAAAACATTGTTTTCAATCGTTATGAGTCTACCAATTGAATAGAATTTTATTATAAACAATTGTCTTGTAAATGTAAGCATTCTGAATGTAAAAATAAAGAAAAAAGTGTGCAAGACAATAAGAAACACTACCTGCCAAAAAAAGAAGTGAAGTTTTGTTGAAATCGGTTAAAAAAATGTAGGAAATCCGATCCCATATATAAACGAACACACACAACCTGGGTTTGATAATAAGTATAACTCGATATGAGTTGTCCCCCTTTCATTCTCGCGATGCCTCTTGTGTTTTCAAATTGATTTCGTGCAAAAACAATTGTATTTTTCCAATTTTTGGCGCTGTCAGAACCACCGCAAGGTAATTTTACGTAGTCCTGTGAAGTTTTGTTGAAATCGGTTGAAAAATGTAGGAAATCCGATCCAATATATAAACGTACAGGCACACACAACCTGGGTTTTATAATAAGTATGATTACTGTATTTTCCGGCTTACAAAAAGCTGCGGCTTGGAAGACGCTCCCTAATATTGGTAAGAAATTTCTAAGAAGGAAACAAAAAAAAAACGTAATTCTCATACAACCCATTCACATACTGACGCCACATACTGTTTACATTAATCACTCATCTGATTTTGTTTGTATGGCAATGACACACTAGTCAAGAGCTGCTAGTAAAGAGAGCATGTTTAAACTTGTGGCTTGGCCTCAGGAAGGTTTATAATCATGGAAATACTTGTAATAGCTAAGTACTGAGGTTACATCATATAAAAAGCTGAATTAGATAGCTAACATTATAGTGTACTGACTCAACATATAAATTCACGTCCCTATCAGTCAAGTCAATTAGGTGACCATCTAAGTTTACTTGAGCCTGGGCATTGCCTTACATTAGTCTTGGAAGACACACACGTATTTTTCAGGGAAGAAAGTGCACCTTGTAAGCTGGAAAATACTGTATTCATGAATTTATGCTGCAGGGTTGGATGAATAATATCCAACCTCGATATATAAAAATCCACCCTTACTTGAAAATGCATTTTGATTTTAGAAAAAGGTTCTTACTTTTGTCCTAAAAAATTGAATGGATCAGATGTTTATATTGCTTGGGCATTATGCATCTCACCTCATAATTAAGTATCAAATTGAAACTCTTTCTTTTGTCATATTACATTAAACTCAACTTTTGTTATTAGGTTAGAAAGAAAATCCTATTGCATTCTGAATGGAGTCCATTTTGTAGCATTTGGTTTTCTTCTTCTTCCACTATACGAGAATAACACCTTTTAGAATGATTGTCATCAACAGTAAGCAGCACCCAAAATCTGAAATGATCTTTTTATTATAATTCAACACTTCATGATCCTTTGTATCTCACCAGACACAGATTATTACCCTTTCTCCATTTTGACAAAAGCAATGACTTTTGCTTGGGTCTTAATTATTGCCTCTTTTGTTGAATATCGTGTGACACACACATCACCACTGGTGAAAATCAAAAAGTAGGTCTTGATGTCATTAATATACAATTTTCTACATACATGTGAAAGCAAGTGTGATACCCTGCCAACAGGGGGCGGTAACACAGTTTTAGTGGCTAAGGCGGTACCGCCACCCTTGACGACACCAGCAGCTTTTGCCACTAGAATGTTTGTGTATACAAGTCAATCTCTTGTGATTTCTTTTTACAACTGCAACTGAGATTTTCAATGTTGTGTTAAAATACACAATGCACATGTTATTAATGACATAGAATGGAAGGTAAACAGATGTATTCCATGTTGGAAGTAGCATTGTGTTGCGAGAATGGTTTTATTTAACTTTATTTTGAATCTTGACCAGATTCAACTTGATGTCTGTTGAGCTGTGGTCTGGGGATGATGTGAAGCACGCTTCAGATTCCAGCCAGTTATGCCCACCTTCAAAAGGACGGTATCCATGGCACCCAACCCGAATAAGTAGCCCACCCATTTTCCACACAGCTGGATGACAACACTACATAGTGGTTTTTCTTCCACTAGTGCACCTCCTCTCTGTTCTCCTCTCATGGAACCATTAATCAGAATATCAGTTAAATCCAGAACTGGACAGACCATTTGGTAAGCATTTTAAAGTTTTGACACTTTACCAATTACATGAGTGTTTTTTTTTATAGCTTATCAACCATTTGCAGGTTATTTTGAAGCCAAAAAATATTTTTAGATTGTTAAGAATTTGGGAGGAGTGAGGAGATAATAATTTAGTGATACAAGTTTTACTAGTTAACCCAGAGCTGGATTAATACCTTTCCTGAGGGTGTGTCTACGTAAGTGAATATAACGAACCCAACTGGAATTAGAACTTGGTTTTCCGATTGACAATTCTGAGACATTATTCATTACAACACTTGAACATCCAACCTTACAGAAGCTGGCATTCCCAAGCAGTCATCCTTCTAGGTACTGACCAAGCTTGACATTGCTTAACTTTCTAGGGGAACTGGTGTTTCAACACATGTCAAGTACAATTAATGTGATATCTGAGTGCTAGAAATGTTGATGTGCTGTCAGTTTTAGTTAGGGTTACAAGAGCAGTTGAAACTGTGCAGAATACCCTAAATTCTTTCAAGTAGGATTCTCCGACCAAAAATCATTAGTTGTTTTTAAACACTTAAGATAATTTCCAGAATATTATTGACAAGGTTTGGCATGCCGGTCTTCTTAACAAGTAGAAACGGTTTGGTATTTCTTGAAACATTTTTTGATCTGATTCAATCTTACTTGTTATATCTTGAAATGAAAGTTGTCTTGAATGGCCACTCTTGATCTTTTTGCATTAATATGGGTGTCTTTAAGGGCTCTATCCTTGGACCTATATTGTTCATAATTTTTATTAATGCTAATTTCTTGAATATTATTCACCTGCTAAACCTTTCTTGAACATGTAAAGCATGCAGTGGCTCATTCATCTATGCTTACATATAGTTAATAATAAAATTAAATTAAATCTGCATAATACAAAATGGAGCCTATAAAATGTAAGATAAATGGTAATGCTTCACTTAAGCATCATAAAATAAACTACTAATCCCTGAACAGTGTGAAAAATCAATAAAGCCAATGTATGTATGCTTATTACAATTAAATATTATAATGGATAATGGTGGACTATGTAGCAAATAAATGCGGAAAATATGGGGTTGTTTTTGTACCGCTGATGCCACACAAATTTGTGAAGATGCAACATGAGCAATGCAGGTTCTTTCATTCAAAATCGTCTCCAAATATACTTTAGTTAAGAACTCAAGGATTCAGGACTCAAAATAGAGAAGACTGAATCAAATTGAAAGTATTTCTTCAGCAAGAGATAATATCTATCTAATGCAACAAAGGTAAATAAATCTGTCATAGTTATAACTATGAGTGGGTGCCGACATGTTGAGAAACTTAAATCACTTTAAATACTTAGAGTTTTTCGAGAATTACTCATAACCTACTGGCACATGTCAAACGTGCTTATTTCTAATTGTCTAAATAAAGCCATGGAGTTATAAATTGACAATTTCATGGACCTTTTTTCCAATTGCCAATAATAATATATATATGTATGAAGAAATATACTCTTAAGGTGTGCTATATTTATGGGATAGAGTGCTCAATATCAGAGACAGAGTGTGTGTAAATATAAAAGTGAACATTGAAGTCAACACTTAGAGGCAGTTTCATGCTAGATGCAATCATCAGGTGGCCTGACAGTTGGACCTAGGATGAAACAGCCTGTTGCCTCTAAGTATTGATTTCAATGTCCACTTTATATATATATATATATATTTTTATATATATATATATATATATATATATAAAAAATAAATAAATGGTTTGTCACTTAGCTGACTGGTGTTACCTTCAGCATCCTGACTCCACAGTTTCATAGATGGACCCCTCTGTCCACATCAAGGGGTATCAGCAATTAACTGCTTATACTTGATTTTTATTTTTTATATGCACTTATCATTGGCACATTTAGTGTATGTGTGCATATATATATATATATATATATATATATATATATATGTCACACACCTCATATGATCAAACTACTTTAAAGTTACCATTGCAAAAAAAAAATTTCATCTATCCTACCAATTGAATAACACTCTTCCTAATATGATTTTACAAGGTCTATGCAATATACATTCTTTTGCCCTAAAATCCTGTGCCTAAAAAATGTTAAAGATACATTTTTTAAATTCTTCCTAAAACTGCTGATTTCTAAGCAGAAAAAAAAAAAAACCAAGAAACTTGCAGAAAGGAAGATTTGGACCATTCCAAAGTCTTACCAGCAGGGATCCATAGACAAAATTCCTGAAACTTAATGGAAAGAAAAATAACAAAGTCAATTAAGAAACAAACGGAAAAAAATATATTTATGACTTGAGTGGGGAAGGGGAAAATTCAAAGAAAAAAAATACAATCAACTTCTGTCATGAAGCAGAATTTCCATTTTCATCTTAACGTACTCAGATTTCAATTTAATCAGTTCCATCCGAGCTTTGTGCTCAATGCCAATTAGTTTCCGTTCAAGTCGAATGTTTTTCATCCTTTCTGAGTGTTCAGTCTTGCGGAAATCCATAACGACAGGGTCGTGTTCTTGATCGCTGGTGACCTTCTCAAGTAGGACGGGTTCGATGGAAGGAATCTGGGGGTCATTTGCCCCATGTGTGGACAAAATTTGTGGACCAGTGTGAGAAGACGACACATTGTTGACTATGTCCACCTCGTCAGAGTAGTTTATGGACGGACCAAGATTGACGGAATGGACGGTGCGGCCATCAGTTACATGGCTGACCAGATGAGTAGGAAGAGCATTCTGAGAGTGTAGAACTTTACCAAAGCCTGAAATAATAGAGGAAAAAAAAAAGTCAATAGCACAGCAGATAAAGATTATGCAATTTGGTTGGGATGAATTCAAGCCAGGTAACAGTTGATTGAACTGATGATGAATAATTAACCAGGTTGAATGTAATATTTAAGAGGAAAAAAAGAAAGAGGAAAAAAAGAAAGAGGAAAAAAAGAAAGAGGAGAAAAAGAAAGAGGAGAAAAAGAAAGGAAAAAAAAGAAAGAGGAGAAAAAGAAAGGAAAAAAAAGAAAGAGGAGAAAAAGAAAGGAAAAAAGAAAGAGGAGAAAAAAAAAAAAAGAAAGAGGAGAAAAGAAAAAAAAAGAAAAAGAGGAGAAAAGAAAAAAAAAAGAAAGAGGAGAAAAAAAAAAAAAAAAGAAAGAGGAGAAAAGAAAGAAAAAAAAAAAGAAAGAAAAAAAAAAAAAAAAAAGAAAGAGGAGAAAAAAAAAAAAAAAAATGAAAGAGGAGAAAAAAAAAAAAAATGAAAGAGGAGAAAAAAAAAAAAAAATGAAAGAGGAGAAAAAAAAAAAAAAAATGAAAGAGGAGAAAAAGAAAAAAAAATGAAAGAGGAGAAAAAGAAAAAAAAATGAAAGAGGAGAAAAAGAAAAAAAAAAAATGAAAGAGGAGAAAAAGAAAAAAAAATGAAAGAGGAGAAAAAGAAAGAAAAAAATGAAAGAGGAGAAAAAGAAAGAAAAAAATGAAAGAGGAGAAAAAGAAAGAAAAAATGAAAGAGAAGAAAAAAAATGAAAGAGGAAAAAAAGAAAGAAAAAAAATGAAAGAGGAAAAAAGAAAAAAAAAATGAAAGAGGAAAAAAGAAAAAAATGAAAGAGGAAAAAAGAAAAAAAATGAAAGAGGAAAAAAGAAAAAAAAAAAAAAAAGAAAAATGAAAGAGGAAAAAAAAAAAAAAATGAAAAAGGAAAAAAAAAGAAAAAAAAAGAAAAAAATGAAAGAGGAAAAAAAAAAAATGAAAGAGGAAAAAAAAAAAATGAAAGAGGAAAAAAAAAAAAAAGGAAAAAAGAAAAAAAGGAAAAAAAAAAAAAAAAAAAAAAAGGAAAAAAAAAAAAAAAAAAAAGAGGAAAAAAAAGAGGAAAAAAGAAAAAGAGGAAAAAAAGAAAAAAGAAAAAAAGAAAAAGAGGGAAAAAAAAAAGAGGAAAAAAAGAAAAAAGAGGAAAAAAAAGAAAAAAAAAAAAAAAAAAAAAAGAAAAAAAAGGAAAAAAAAGAAAAAAAAAAAGAAAAAAAAGGAAAAAGAAAGAAAAAAAGGAAAAAAAAAAAGAAAAAAAAAAAAAAAAAAGGAAAAGAAAGAAAAAAAAAAGGAAAAAGAAAAAGGAAAAAGAAAAAAAAAAGGAAAAAGAAAGAAAAAGGAAAAAAAAGAAAAAAGGAAAAAAGAAAGAAAAAGGAAAAAAAGAAAAAAAAAAGGAAAAGAAAAAAAGGAAAGAAAGAAAAAGAAAAAAGAAAGAAAAAAGAAAAGAAAGAAAAGGAAAAGAAAGAAAAAAAAAGGAAAAAAAGGAAAAGAAAGGAAAAAAAGAAAAAGAAAAAAGGAAAAAGAAAAAAAAAAAAAGAAAAAAGAAAGAAAAAAAAAGAAAAAAAAGAAAAAGAGGAAAAGAAAAAGAGGAAAAAAGAAAAAGAGGAAAAAGAAAAAAGAGGAAAAAGAAAAAAAGAGGAAAAAGAAAAAAAGAGGAAAAAGAAAGAAAAAAGAGGAAAAAAGAAAAAGGAAAAGAAAAGGAAAAAGGAAAAGAAAAGGAAAAAGGAAAGAAAAGGAAGAAAGAAAAGAAAAAAGAGGAAGGAAAGAAGGAAGAAAAGAAGAAACGAAAGAAGAAAAGAAACAAAGTGATACATTTGTCAGAAATACTACAATTGTCCAATACATTCTCAGTTCATGAAAATTACTTTAGAATTGACAGGTAATGAAACTAGAACAGGATTTTTAAACAAACAAGTGAAAAATTTAATTCACTGAAATCTGGGTTGAGGATGCGAGAAAAGAATAAAAATTACAATTGTATTTTAGCACCCCCTCCACCAGGGATTGTCAGTTGTCAGGAATAAAAAAAGAATGTGTTTAATATTATTTATTATAGATTTATCCTGTAATTTCCAAAATAAATAGAAATTGGAGAAAGCTCTTGCAAAAAAAAAAAAAAACCCACATGGTCTCACCAAAAAAGAAAAGACCTTCCCTTCTCCCCTCTATTAGAAAATATAAGATTTAATTTTCATCTCTTTTTGCACTGCTTGTTGTATACATTAAATAATATAGACAAGTTTTGTCTTTAAGTAAATTCCTTTCATATTGTCTGATAAGCTTAATAACATTATCAAGATGAAAGAAAACTTATCATATTGATAACAGAAGCCATTGGTTTATACCAACACCTTCTCATACTTCTCGTTTTCACTCTCGCATGGTCATATGTGACGTCACGAGTTGCGGTGCGATTTTCGCTTCCGCATCTCGTATACACATGTTTGTGGTTGCTTGGAAATCTTTTTTTTCTTTCTTTTTTCTGTGTATTGTTTAATATATTGAAATGTAATTGTCATCTTTGATAATGGCTTATGTAAGCCAAAAGCTTAGATAGGATTAAAAAATATGTATCAATATGGTGATTTTCTTTCATCTTTCAACGATAATGTTATTAAGCTTATCAGACAACATGAAAGGAATTTACTTAAAATAAACAGACAAAACCTGCCTATATTATTTAATGAAACATGCATCAATGAAAAAATGCTGCCTAAATACACACAATATATATAATTTGTTATAATTTTTGAAATAAATAATTATATCTGCTCTACTCTGTATTGAGCACTCTTTTAAGAATAGTAATTGTTGGTTATTGGAATTCATTCTGTATACACCAATTATATACTTGGGTGGGTATATATATATTTTTTCATGATTGTCATTCCTTTCTTTCAATCCTTTTGTTCAGTGTATTAAGGTGTTATGATATCACAAATATAAGAATGAAGATATGGAAAATTTCTTCCATGGCACCACCATGAAAAGGATTTATTCAACAAACACATAAAAAATTTCATTTCTTGAAATGATAATTTACACACCAAATTTTGGACAGAGAAGAGGAAGAAAAGAAAAAGTAACAATTACAATTGTATTTTAGTCCTGGATAGGGATAGTCAAGTCACGAATTAAGATTAAGTGTGTAATAGTATTGGCTTGTATATAATACAATCCTGTGTTTCCGAAGCTAAAAACAGGGAATAAATTACATCCTTGATTATAATACGACTGTAGTACAGCTGCCTTGATGTAAATATTTCTTGAAAAGTTGTATCATTTTTCTCCATTAAAATCTAGCTGTAATACATATATTTTACTAAAATGTTTAATTCTTCATATTAAAAAAAAAAAAAAAAAAACAAGAATTAAACTTTTGTAAATTGTCATCAATGCCTGCCAACTTTGTGCTTTATTATCTGTTGTGTATTTGCAATCTTGTTTCAAAATAAAGTTGTCTTTTTTTAAAATAAAACTTTCTGAAAATGTGTACAAGACCCCCCACTTTTTTGCTTTTAATTACCATTAAAAAATTTCTCACATTATACACAAGAAAAAAAAAAAAATTTATATATTTGTCCCATAATTTCTTCAATAAATAGAAAGTTTCAATTCTTATTCGATCCTTGGATAAAACACACTCCACCGACAACAAATGAAGTACCCTGCATTTTATAAATTCTCCTCCAGAATCTAGAGACAACCTGTAAAGGATGGGCTGTGCTATCTCCACACTATACTAAACCAGGTGCCATAACCAGGTATTGAACTCACAACGATTAAGGACACATGGCACAATGAGTAAAGGCATTGGTTAGATCTAGTGATAAGACCCAAAGAGTTGTGAGTTCAATACCTGGTTAAGGCGGTGGAGAACTTGGAGAGGGGAATTAACAGGAGATAACTGACATCCATTAGACATGGCACGTGGAACTAGTCTACCCCAACTAGTGAAATAAAGGGTTCAGTTCGACATTCCAACCACCTGAAGAAGGCTGGAGTGTACAATGGCTGAAACGTTGTGATAAATATGGCAACAAAAATGAAGATAACAGTTTGAATAATGTAAATAGTGCAGTTGTAATTGTATAGCTATATCATAAGAGCCAACAATCATTCGACTGCCAGTCTACAGGGGAGAGCCTTTTCTATAAATACTCCCATGGTAATTGTTCTGCCCTGTATGGTACATAAACCATAAGAATTTAAATGCAGTACAAGATTGGCAACAAGGTCTCATCATTTTACAGTTTAATTGGCTTGAAGTAACTAAATTCTGTGCAAACAGTTCCTTTTCTTGCACTTCTCGCTTGTGGAACTCTTTTCCGGCTTCTTGCTTCCCAGTCAACTTTCATCTTCAAAAATGTAAATGCAATGTCAATCATTATCTTCTGTCTTCTTAATTCTTGTTCTTTTATTGTCTTCTCTCATTAATAGTATTTTTCTCGTATTTTCTAACACTCAACAACACCTTGTGTCCTAGTGGCTTTATTGCCTTGCTCGGGGTGAAATGAAAAAAAAAAAAAAAAAAAAACAACCCAAAAAGCAGAAGGTGATGACAGAGTTAAAAAGAAATAAGCTGATAAGGAAATTCTTTCAAAGAGACACACATATCAGCCCACAACCAAGACATAGGGCAGGAGTTGGTCAGGTGCTCAGCTGTAGAGTGGCACTACCCATTCATGATTAAAAATAGAAAAATCATTGAATTAGATAGTAAGAGAAATAGAATATGTATCTATAGAATGTGTGGTGGGAATGGCAGATGTATATACTGTTTCCATTTGGGGGAGGGAAATTGAGGTTCAAAGGGTTGACAAATAAAAAAAAAAGTGCTGC